GCGTTGTGGTTATCAAGAAGTGCAGTTATCAAAACAGTTGTTAAAGCAACTCTATCACGTTCCACGATTCAAGGAATTCAATTGAAAACGGTTGAACGACGAAGAGTAATGACAGCAGTTAAAAGAAGGCAGTTTTCATGACAAGTCGGCCATTACGAAGAAAGTGGGCAGTTATAGGACGATCAAACAGTTTTTAGGCGGTTGATTACAAAGAGATCGTCCATGAAGTATAAAAGGGAGAAAAACATGGAGCAAAGGACGGAATCAAAAACTCTCGAACAGAGAACATGTAATTTTAATTTCCTTAGCTTTAGACTTAAACACTTTTCTTTCAGTAACTCGTGTGCTTGCGCCCCTTGGAGGCACATTGTTTTTAATTTCCAATTGTAAAGTCATCGCCAATAAAAGAACACCCCTTTTTGGGACTTTGTCTCAAGAGGTTTGTTTCTTACACAATCGTCTGATCCCTTTTAATTGTTAGTGACTAACCCGCGCGAAACAACAATAGATATAACTTGTGGTAGAATCAAAGGGTCCGATTTATAGAAGATGAGAGATTGTCAGTGAAGTGACATGTCACAATCTTCGTAATCTTACGAAAGGAAGTATCCCATGCTGTCGATATCCTGTCACTGGCCTTTCACTCGAGCATCAATGTTTTTTTTCAATAGAAAATATTTGCTTGCTTATTGTTGAAGCGATAGTCTCATCACTCGAGTGCTAGGCAAGCGATGGAGTTGGACAAATTTTTCGATCAATTTTTCCTCTTTTCTTTCTAATTTTTAACTACAATTTCTCATTTATCCAGAAGAATAATTTTATGTGTGCATAATGGATTACACCCTTTCTAATGGAGGGGGCTCACAAATATTTTATTGTATGTGGGCCTCCCTCCATGAGAGGAGGTGTAATGATGTGTGTAAATCATTGTGTACGCATAGTATTGTCCTATTCAGAATTAGTTTTGAGATTTCAAATATACCACGATGATCTACTCGACTAGTAGAACAAGTTAGTCTATTTACTTTTATAATTTGACTACCGGATCAAATCCTAATATTTGGGCCAAATTAACACAAAGTCAATTTCCTTATTTTATTCTTAACCAAAACTTTCAATCTTTAAATCAATTTCTAAGAACATGATGAGAATAATGTGGCTAAAAGTTGTTCACTTAATGTAATAATGGCATTCTAGAAAGATATTAGTAATTAAGCACCAAATTTAAAACTTAAGGTAAGAGTTCCAAGAGAAAAATAATACATTCGAGTAGAATCTTTTGCTTCTAAGAATGTCAACTGTCTACCGGTCCGTTTGGCACAATTGTAGAACTTTTACCAATTGAACTTTTATATAAATAGTTGTTATCAAAGTGTTCAATAATTGCTTGATTGCCAATAAAAAATGATGTGAGTATAAAATTGATCATTTGGCAAAATAACTATGAAAACCCTTTGATTTATTAATTGCACATAATGCATAATTAGTTGACTGATTATTATTTCTTTGTTATATAAAATTTATAAAATTAGATACTTCAATTAAATTTTCATTGAATAATTTTTAATATAAATCGTATTTATTTAAAATTTATTTATATAAAACGTCTAAACAACATAGACTAATATATTATGTCATAAAAAATATGAAATACCATATATTCTTTTATCATTTTGAATTTCATTTCTAAAATATATTATTGAGCATTAAGCACTTCTTTGACTGTAATCAAATAATCATATTTTATACCGAAGTGATTTCAGTTTTCTAAATGTACTTTTGCACTCCCAAACATACACTAAAGAGTACATATTATATATGCAATACATTTTTTTATAAGTTCATCAAATTTTAATTGTATGAAAGGTCCATAACCTTTAATAGTTTGTAACATTTATACTTGAACTTTTTAATCATATTCTTATCCTCAATCTCTCATTAATTAGCATATATTGTCCATAATGATGATTTTTGTCCAAAAATTTCGCTAAGGTAAAGAAATAATTATTAGCACCTCGTATTTTTTAATAAGCAAAAAAATTAAAAATATTAAACTAAGACTAAATATTTGTTCCTCGTTTTAGTGCACACTAACGTAATTTTTGGACGATAAACATTATTAAGTATAATATTTTTAATTAATGAAGTTAAGGATAAAAATGTGAATGAAAAAAGTTGAGACATGAATGTGATATTGCAAAATGTGGCTCATTTACAAAATAACAACAACAACAACAACAATAATAACAAAACACATCAAATATATTACATGATGGTGGAAAGAAATTACTTTTTAATCCTTATTCTTTTGTATATTCTTAGCACTCTTGCTTATATGTTAAAACAGGTTTGGTACGTAATATCATTAAACAATATGAAAATATGAATACAACACAGCAATTAAAAGTGAAAACAATATAATTTCACAGCACTGCTTGGTAGACAACCAAATTTCAAATCCCCTAGCATCAAAGTCAGATACATGATTAATTAAGCTAAATCAACTTCTCAATTAATTGTCCATTAATGCCTCTTTTATTGATTAGACTAGAATAACATTTAGGACATTTTGTACCTCCAATCCTTCATAGATTTCAATTTTTTGTATGCAAATTTTCATCTAATTTTTTTATTATTATTATTATTATTATTATTATTATTATTATTATTATTATTATTATTATTATTAATAAGAAAATCCATACATGCTCTTGAACAACTTAAACTTGATATGCATTTGATTCATAAAAGATTAGTTCAAAGTTCATTCAAATAAATACTCATCATTTCTTTTAAATACTTTTAAAGGATTTTAAAAGTTTAGGAGTATTTAATAGAAGCTTTTATGATTTTTAAAAAGTCTTTACAAGTTTCGTTCAATTAAATTTTTTTAGAAATCTTTACAAGTTTTGTGGTATTCAAAATTTTAATGACTTCTATAAAAGCCTTCAAGATACTAATTTAAAAGCAAAAAGTACAAAGACAAAATTTCAAAATAAGTTTTTCATTCATTCCAAGATTTTTAAAGACTTTGACAAAAGAATTTTTTAATATATTTTCCACTATTTATGTAAAAAATTTTTAATCCAAAAATGAATAATTTGTCATTAAATTTTAAGTATATTACTTGAAATATTATATAAGTATTTTAGTTGTTTATTTATTTAATTAAGCTAATTTAATTTTTTTCTTTTAATTATATATATTTTTATTTATATGTATGAATGAGATAGAGATCAATCTTTGACCTTTTATGTGAGAAGCCAAGTGATTTCTATTTCAAATGAAAGTTTTCAAAAAAAGTCATCCGAATTTTACAAAAGTTTATAAAAGTTCTAAAATGAAAATATATCCACTAATTCTATAAAAATTTATAAAAGTCCACAAAAATCATCACTTGAAAAAGTTTATAAAAGTCTTTAAAAGTTTCAATTGAATACACATCGCTAAATACAACTTCATATATTAGGAAAAGATGGAAAGAAGCTATTTATATATATATGAAAATACGTACATGCTCTTGATCAACTTAAACTTGATACGAATTTGATTCGTAGAAGATTAGTTCAAACTTCGTTCAAATATTCATGATTTCAATTCAACATCAAATACCCTAAAATTGTACGTCATTACACATTTGGTACACTAAACTAAACATGATTAAAAAAGGTACATGTTCTGAGTCGAGCAAACGATCTTGTTTGAAGGATTGTAAATTTAATAGAATATGCTCATAAACATTAAAAAGAAGAATAAGAAAAATGAGAAACAAAGAAAAAGATACTCATGTAAAAAAAATGGTACTTCGTCCATAAAGGAATCGGAGTTGCGTTGGGGCCGTTTATATATCTCCAACTCATAAATGTGAGTGAAATTTTTAATGAGTCATCTAACTGTACCTTCATGAGCCAGAAGGTACTACTCTCATGCCAAACCACTCCACTCAACGAGCATCATTCCTTCAAAATATATATATATATATATATAAGACAGAACACGATTAAAAAAAGGTATGTGTTCAGTTCTTTTTGAGCCGAGAGAATATCTTGTTTAAAGGTTCGAAAGGTTGGCCCTATTGTTTCTACGGAAAAAAGAACCTATGATTAGCTTTTTGGGAATTTTCTAAAGGAACAATTTCAACGAAATCGTTCGAGTTCATCTTTTACCATGTTCAATTTCATGTAAAGGCTGTACTGGAGTTTCTCTTAATCTTATTAATAGCTATTCTAGGAAGAATGCTTTTATGTGGTGCTAACAATTTAATATAGAATATGCTCATAAACATTAAAACAAGGAAAAAAAAATGGAAGAAGAAGAAGAAAAAAGAAAGAAAGAAAGAAAAAGATATTGTAAGAAAAAGTGCTTCATCCATAAAGGAATTGGAGTTGTGTTGTGTAGGGGCCATTTATTATGATACTCATAAATGTGAGTGAAATTTTTTCTATATCATTTAACTGTGCTTTCATGAGCCAAAAGATACTATTCTCATGCCAAACCATACAACTCAACAAGAATTATTCCTTCAATAAACCATTGAAATTTTTGTACTTCTCCCATATGCAATGTTATATAGAGTTTTCCAGTTCTGCAATTGTAAATAAATTGCAGTAGTTGTCAAAAATAATAATTTAATTCTGTTTTTTCAGACAGCTTTAAACAAATTATTTAGTATTTGAAACTGAAAGCTGGAATAGTACATCGAACATCAAAGAAAACTTGTATATCATAAATTCCTTGAGCCATGCTTGGTGTACAGCACTTAGAAAAACCCAAGTTCCTTTTATCGAACATCAACTGTACAATGACAGAAGTGACAGATGGAACTTGCCATTTGTGATTAAATATTCTGTTCTTAATCAACTACATTTTAAAGAGTACAGTTACTTTATTCAAGATATAGGATTAGTAAAAACAGTTTGCTTCAAACATGCTGAACCTGTGGCTGTGGCCAGTTTGAATTAATATTTATCAGAATGCATAAATTAAAATTAATATTCAGCCACAGACTATGCGTACAAATATAAGAACTCAAATTGGACTAATGTTAATTCCTGTAGTTTTCCCAGTAACTGAATAATCTAAAGGAAAACAATTTTTTTGTAGTAATCTATAGACTCAGATCCATGGAATTAGGAAAAGAACAATACTTTTAACTCTAAAATCAATATCTTTTCCCCAAAATTTCAAGCTAAAGTAATTTATTGCTTAATGAGGTTGACGAATAACTGCTTCGGAAATGGCTGAAATCTCGACTTGACTAATCTCCTCATCGTCATCAATCGGGGCAGGAAGATTAAGATCTATGTTCAAAGTTTCACCTAATCTTGAAAATGGTTTAATTGAAGTAGTACTTGATGAAATTGCTGCAGCACCAATAAAATGTGATCTCTTGTGCCCACCAAGTGCTTGACCTGATGAAAAGACTCTATAACAAACTGGACATTCATGAACTTTTTCCTCCTCCACCTCCACTGAGGCTGCCACCGTTGAGCCACCACCTGCATTAGCCTTGTTTCTAGTTTTCAACGCCACCTTCGGTAGAGGCAGATCAACTTTAATTTTCTTGTGACTTGCCCTGTGTCCACCAAGAGCCTGATATGACCTAAACACTTTGTTACAAGTTTCACATCTATACTTTCCTCTAGCCTTGGTCTTTAACGCTTTATTCGGCCCTTTCTGTTGATCAAGAAGTCCAATCAGATTTCGATATACCACACCAGAATCCTCTTCTTCTTCTTCGTCTTCACTTTCTTTTCTCTTCCACTTGTCCCTGGATAGCATCATCAAGCAATAAGCAACATTTTCTTCTGGAGTGGTATCTGAAATCGAACTCAATGGTTCAGGCTCCACCATTTCTGATGACTGCTCAAAATAATCACTTTTCTTGCTTTTCATCCCAGAAGTTCTTAATTTTCTAACCCTTTTCAACTTATTGTTTGATGAATCTGTTTCACTTTCTCTATCTTGACTAACACAAAATCCCTTTTGCTTCTCTCTCATCAACCCATAACACAGAATCCCTTTTTCTTCTCTCTCTTCATCCTCACCGTCTGAAGATGATGATGATGCAGAAGATGATTGAAAATCATCCCCTTGATCAATCTGTTGATGACAATTCTCAAAAGGGTTTACTTTTCCTTTGTTTTCTTCCTTTTTTTCTGCACAAAAATTCATCATGTGGGATCTCATATGTCCCCCAAGAGCTCTTCCATTGGCAAAGTTTCTGAAGCACAGTTTGCATCTGTGTTTCTCCATATTAGAGAAATCTAGAAAAAAATAATAATAAATAAATAAATTCTCCTTCTCACACTTGAGTAACTTTGTGCGTGTTTTTTATGGTAGTGCTTGAGAATTGTGACAGATTTGGAGTTCCTTTAGCTCACAAGTGTAAAGAGAGTGGAAACTTAAAGGAGTAGGTAATAAGCATTCCTTTACCAGGGGACTAAAACTGAAAAAATTAATTAAAGCATTAATTAGAAAATTTTATTTGTAGCATGATGTTTCGAAGCAGAATAGGAAAATAAAAAACAAAAAAAAGAAAAAAATAATAAAAAAATAGAACAAGTAACATGCGTGCTGGGCATTAAAATTCATCCCACCTTGGACTAACTCGAAAGTAACGTCTAACTAAGATTGATTTGTGATAAATTTTGATTCGACTACATAAATTACCTTTTCCTGTGCTATAAATTCAAGCAGAATAGGAAAATAAAAAACAAAAAAAAGAAAAAAATAATAAAAAAATAGAACAAGTAACATGCGTGCTGGGCATTAAAATTCATCCCACCTTGGACTAACTCGAAAGTAACGTCTAACTAAGATTGATTTGTGATAAATTTTGATTCGACTACATAAATTACCTTTTCCTGTGCTATAAATTCAACGTGAAAGATTCAGCGCAACCATAATGGAAGTAGTGATTAATTAATATTTATCTACAATAAATTTTCTCGTTAAATCTGCTCAAAGATTCAAAGTAACTGCAATTTAGCAACATGTCATATTAATATTAGTCTACCCTTTTTAACGTGCTATAAAGTTTCCAAGATTAATTATTTTTGATAACTTAATTATAGTTTAATTTGATACTTATCACAAGGGTTTTGAAGGAATTGAAAGGAGGTTTCTAGCACAACATACTTCTACTTGATAAATAAAGTCAAGAAAACTGACGGGTTTATTGTAGCTATAAAAGCACAATGAATTATTACTTAGAGTAGAGACCAAAAATAACCCTATATTAAATAATGATGTTTGACTGTTTTAAAACAATTTTTCTCTTAATTTTGTTTGAAATATATCTTGTGGGTTGAAGGGTAGGAAATAGGCAAGTAGTAACCTCCTCCCTTTTGAGAATGGAGAATGGAGTGTGGTAGTGAAGAAGTAAATGCCGTTTTGTTGGGATCTTGTTTTCAACATTAAACAATTTTGGTTTAATAGTTGGAAAATAATAAATGCACAACACTATAATAGTGGGATCCCCTCTTGTGAGGGGTTATAAGACTTACTGTACACCAGAGTGTACAGCAAGCATCTCCCTTATTAGTTTATACATTTCTAACATGTTAGGTAAGTTTGTTTTGTTGAGAAATAAACTTAAATAAATTAAAAAAAATACTTTTCTTTAGCATCTTAAAATTTTAGATGAAACCAATATATTTTGGATTCATATATCGTTTCCATCTTATTTATATATAAAAATAAAATACTGTAGGGTCAAATATTTTATGAATAAAATTGAAATTGGTTTGCCTTTGAGATGATGCATTAAAGATAATTGAAATTAATATAACATATTCCTTCTGAATTTTTAGATTAAATTGTTCAATAAGATTGGACAAATTGAAAATAATTAAAAAAAGATAGACGATTGTTATGTTTGTCAATTGTCATATCTAGTTCATATCTGCATCTTGTTTTATCAGGTTCTAGTTTTTTTGGAGAATGGAATTCAGTAATTTCTATAGTTATTAAATTAACATGGGAATGTGTTGAGTTCCAATTAAATCGTGTATCTCAATTATTTAAAACATATACTATGAAAATATTAGAAAATTTTCCAGGTTAGAATCTCAACTAATTAATGGGCTTGGGCCCCATATCAAATGTTTGATGATTCATAGTTCTATGCTTAAATGCAGAACACGAGCCCTATTTTTGCTTGACTCAATCTATCCAAGTCTTGTTCTATCCTTGTGAACATATTACATTACTTGGTCGAAATCTTGTTTTTTGATGTTAAGAGATAAAAGTCAGTAATATGTAACACGAGTTCGATTTTTGTAGTCTAGCTATCTAATCTTAGTTCTACTTAGGTCAAAATAGCTCATGCTTAGTTTACGTCTAAACTTAATGATTAAAAAGTCAATAGTAAGTAAAAACGAGTGTCCAATTCTTGTAATCGAGCTACAGAAGTCTTGGTCAATTACTGATACAGGAGGATCCGAGTCGAGTGACGCTGATCTGTCAGATAGCTCGTTGATGGAACTGAGATACCATGAGATGGTGGATCGACGCAAAGATGGAAAATAAATACAATTTTTTCGTAATTGGGGCAATTTTGGCATGTTTTTGATAATTTGACCGTAACTTTGGCTACGATAATTAGAATCGTTATTATGACCCAAATCCGAAAAACTCTCTTCAGCATGCATGTCATGGTCACCCAAAAATGCTCACTGGGCATCAATTTCGAGCCCAAAATCCACTCTTTTCCTTTTCGAAATCAAATTTTTAAGTTATTTTTTTTTTACTATTTATGGTAATATTTCGTTTCCTTTTTTCTTGACGTTAGAGAATCCGGATTAAGCCAAATTTTTGGCAACTTGCTTCTTTTATTTCATATTTTATTTTGGTGTGATCGTTACGATTTTGCGATTTTTGGTAATTTTTTGATGATTTCGTATTTTTGCAGCTATTTAACTCAGCTTGTGGGTTAATTTTCGTCATTCTGCATTGATAATAAAATTAAGTTAATTTTAGAGAATTTCTCTATGTTTTAAGGCGTTTTCTTTCGTATTCTCTTGTAAATCATCTGGTGCAGCTAACTTTCCGAATAATCGCTATCCTGCCCGATGTCAGTTGGTATCAGAGCGTCAACATCTTCCTGGGGTAAATTTCCATCAGTTGCAATGGTTGGTGGACGTGGTCGTGGTTGTGGTCGTCGAGGGCAGGTTCCAATTGAGGAAGTCCCACACCGTGATCGCAGTGTTCAGGATGTGACGATTGAGGATTTACAGAGACAAGTTGTGGAGTTAACCCAACGTCTGGCGGAACAGGAGTTCAGCAATCATGATATGGAGGGTCACGATTTCGATATCAGTTTCGAAAACCCGTATCATAATCGTGCTCGAATTTGGGAGCATCGTGGACAGGATGATCGCCATGTGGACCTCGGCTTCAGAGTGGATCAACCCGAGTTCTCTGGTACATCACAAGCTGAAGGTTTTATTGATTGGTTGAATGAAGCGAAGTGAATTTTTGAGTATAAGGAGGTTCCAGATTGTGTCAAGGTAAAATTGGTCGCTATCAAACTTAAAGGAAGAGCTTCTATATGGTGTGAACAATTGAGGCGTTCGCAAGAGCGACAAGGCAAGTCTTAAATCACTAATTGGGAAAAGAAAAAGAAGAAGATGAAATGACACTTTCTTCCATTAGGCTACACTCAATCTTTATTTCAGTGGCTCCATTCACTGAGGTAAGGTACGAGATCTTTTGATGATTATATAGAGGAGTTCTATCAATTAATAGCCTAGAATGATTTATCTGAAACAGAAAAATAGATAGTTGCACGGTATGTGAGAGGATTAAGGCAGCCCCTGTAGGATGTTCTAAGCTTTCATTCATTGTGGACAATGTCTAAAGCATACCAGCGTGCACTTGCCGTAGAAAAAGCAGCAAAATAGAAAGCCAGTGGTCAGAAGTGAAAGTAGTCAGTCAGTTCGACCTCAAGCATTTCATCATGCCTATCAGCCCCCGTGGGACAATCCTAACTCAGACATTAAGTATTTCAGATGTGGTGAACAGGGACATAGGACGACTGGTTGTAGGAAGCCGGCTGGTCAAAAGAATAAAAATCTTATGATTGAAGAGAATATGATAGAGGAGTTCAAGGAGGTTGGCAAGCCTGTATATGATGAAGATGAGAATGTGCTGAATGAAGATGGCCAGGAGACTCTAGTCATTCGCAAGAGTTTGCTAACTCTC